CAACTTTTTCGTTCAAGTTCGTAGAATAGTCTAAAACTGAACATCGAGAAAAGTTTATGCTTAATAACTTTAATAACTTTGCCGAGATGTCGGAATTATCTTCAGTCGTATTTACAAAATATCGAGACTTACATAATTTTTTAACCTTCTTTTGTGTCCCTTCATACTACAACGGGCTTCTTCGAAATCGCTTTCAACTTCGCCGGTAAAACGGCTGACTCTGCGGAAGTTTGCTGCTATAATGGGCTATCGCTCTGATTCACCGGCCCGTTCCCTATTCTCAGATTATTGTTTAATTGTTTTGTTATCGCGATACTTTCCTTCCCCTCTTTACTAGATGCAACACCGCTGGGCTCTTTGTCGTTCGCCGAAGTTTGAGTCGATCGGGATACGACCGTAGACGGTGGTTTTCCGTTCTTCTGATCCTTCACCTCCAACTCGTAATCTGCAAAGAAAGCATCTTCCGTTGAATCCACGAGAGCGAGATTGTTATACCTTATTTAATTTAGCGGCTAGCTTAATTTAAGATTCAGAGAGGCACCATAATTGTGAAACAATTTTTTTTTTGTATGCGAGTTTGCTAGGAAACTGTTTTAGACAGATTTGCTTGCGGCTATTTTTTTAAATTGGGAAGACGAAGTTGCTAAGTTTTTATGGTATTTTTAATTAAAATTCTAGATTAATAATCAGACGCTTCGCGAAAATATGGAACGTTCATAACAATATTTAAACTGTTGAAGTATTTTGATTTTGATTTTGTTAATTAATAGTAACAATGATTTTACAAAAGCTTGGATTTTTTATTTATTTTAAGATTATACTCACATTCACTTTGTGTCGAACAATCTATAGTAGTGGTAATGTGTTTTTCGACGGCCTTATTTTGATCGCATGTAGCTGCAGTCAATGTGACAGGCGCTATCATGCTAGAGGCGTTAGTAGCCGTGACCGCTGAGCTTTTCGTCGTGCTATATCTAGCTGGCATCATACTCTGGCGCACATTTCTCTCTGGTCGAATCAAGATGATGTACAACTATCGAAAACAGACGACTGGTTAAAAACTGGCGACTATACACATCTTTTTCGAGTTCCGTCAAAGCGATTTACCTTTGGACTGAAAAGACACGCTATAGTCACCGACGCGGACAGACTTATGGTGACCGACATTGAGGTGATTCTCAAGGCGACATTGTTCCCTGTACCAAAGTACAGCGGTACGAAGGCCAACCATATTACACACGTGGTGTACATCGTGAAGCCTGAGTAGGAAACATAGTTTAAGTCACGAATTTGGTCATTTTGGCAAGGAATTAATGTAAATCCTGAGTGACACGTTTTGAACAAACAAAATACCGAAATTAAGTTAACGCGTAACGTTTCCGCATTGTCTTGCTTCGCGTAAATCCAACCCGAACTATTCTCATTAATGTCTCACGTGTGCATTCAAGGGCATCCTACAAAGGGAACTCGAGGTTTATGACTTAAACTGAAACTTCAGTCTTTAGTTATTTGAATTATTGTTCGAACGCTGTGGTTGAGTTATATTGCAACTTGGCTTCAAACCTACTATAGCTAAATTTTGCGAACACGCCATCCACTGCTGTGCCGTTAATAAAATCTTCTACCTTTGGGAAATCGCGTAGCTCAAATTCTGTTGAGTTCCATGTGCGCCCGACATAGTCTTACACCGGGACATAAAAGATTGTGGAGCACGAAATTGCGACGGTCGAGGAGGATTGATCGTAATTGGTAGTAAATCGTGTTCAAAAATCTCGAAATGCTTCATGCACGTGCAGTGTACAAGCGAATAGATGAACTCAAATAAGACTATGAGGTCCAAAGAACTATTAAAATATTCTTTATATATTTGAAAAATTGTTATCGAACAGTTTCTTCTAACACATCTATTCGAAGTCAATATTTTTCGAAATTAAGTTATAAAGTCATGAATCGATTTAAAAAATGAACGTACTATAATAATATGCATTGTAATGTAGTATTTTAATGGAGGAATTGATGGCAAGATTCATTGATATGCGCTTACCGATATGTTTGCTCTCGTTGAATGCTTCCGGGATTTTCCTCGTAAGTACTGCGTACACTGTGCATACGACGATCAACATAATGGGATAGGCGAATGCAATCATGTAACTGGCGTCTATGTAGCTGTTGCAAACGAGAAAATTGTCTTCCCGTGTCGGATAATGATGCATTGCCTTAGCAGGATCGATAACCATCCAGACGCCGTTGATTAATATTTGGACGAAAACCAAACCGGAACAAATGATGAGTTGCGATCGTGGCGATATGAACGATGGCCTCTTGGCACTGTGCTTGCTTGCGTTGAAGATCCTCGATATCCGATTAGTCTTAGTTAAAAGCGCGGCGTAGACGACAGTAAAACAGAAACCGGCCGCGAATCTATCAAACGATAAGAACAACAAAATAGTACGACAATGGTTCTCTGTTTTATGTTATACAATATTATTTCCTGCTATAAATATAAAATTTTATATTATTTCACGAGATATAAGAAATGATATGTCATAAGAAATAAATTTTATTTCTCTTTAGTAGTTAAGACGAGATAGTTATCTTGGCTCTTTTATGTGGAATCGCATGAGTTGGTGCACGAGTTAATTGAAGTATTCTGGATTCGCATATTTTATTCATCTGAACATTTCAAGGCGTTTTCGTTGACAAATAAGAACGCAACGAGTTCTCTGGAAATACGAGCACGTTTAAGGAATTGAAAGCAGGTGAAACTTTAGCTCTAATGTAGAATTGCTACCGTGTCCAATTTAGTTCATATTCTTCTTTTGATTACCCGTAATTGAATCACGCATAATTCAGTCGAGCTGATGAAATTTCATCCTCTCGATCTAACGAGCTTTGCTCGACCTGATCGATTATGCATCCGTATTTGTTGGTGAACAACCATTCACTATGTCCGACGGCCGACTACGTAGCCTTCGCAGGGAATAGGATTTTTTCGTCGAGCTTTCATTTCTTTTATCTCCAGGGAGAAACGGGGAAGAGGCGTATAACACGTTGAGTGACTTTTTAGCTCCTTACCTTTGAATGCCGCAAACGATATCCGTCGGTCGCAGGACGAGGGCGAATGTAACAAGATAACAGAGCAGTATCCCGGAAAGTAGGACGTAGGATAGTTCGCGGCCGGACGCGCGTACCACAGGTGTGTCATTGTGCTTCAGGAACACGCCACAGACGCACATAGTTATCTGTACGACAATGAACAAATTGTTAGTTTCAAATTGCTATCTAAAAATAGATACTCCTTACAAAGTAGCTCAAACAGCATGTTTCTATTTACATCTTATTATAGAAAAGTTATATCCTGTTAACAGAAGTTATGTTCCTCGTATTTTTATATATAAGAATCCTATAAAAAAATTTTATTAAATGAAACTTTATTTTAATTGGCTTGGATGCATCGAATGTCAGCCATCTCTATAGGATAAACTTGTATCGACTTTTCGATATTTATGATACACAATATAAGATACATTATCCAAGCAGTGAGAAAAGTGTACGGATCAATAATGCAGTCGGTTTTTGTAGCAGTAATAGCACCACAGGCTGTCGTTCAGTTTAATGCGTTGCGGTTAGAATTATTGCGCGGTTGTTAAGCACTCGGCTTCTGGTTATTTTATCGTGTGTACACTCTAGACCGCATTTGGTGCGCATTCTTGAAACGACCGATCCTTATCGCACAACTTTCCCCCCCGTTACTTACTGCACGATGAAAATGTGACTGTATTTAACTTTCTTTAAACAAATTTGGTATTTCACGATTATAATATGACAGCTGTGAAACTGTTTAAAAAAGATTATGCTATAGATATGCATATTAATTTAAATGTAAATTTTCTTAATTAAGTATTCGTATCTCCATATTAATTCAGATGACTCT